TAATGTTAGGGTGGAGTGTTCTAAAAACAAACAAAAAGAAAAAACACAGTTTTCTTCAGATAAACAGGTTGATATACATTCTCATTCACATCATATGAGAGTTTATTCACAAGTGTCCGAGTTAGATCTACTTCAAAAAAGTATCTCGAAAGCCAGCTAACAGCTGCTAACTGTGGCTAACAGAAGCTAAACAGTAGGTAGCAGAGACTAACATCAGCTAACAGCAACTAACATAGATTAATCCCAGATAACAGAGACTAACAGCCACTAACAGTGGCTATCAGCAGCATAAACAGCAGGTAACATAGACAGAGATAACCCCAGATCACAGAGGCTTACAGCGGCAAAAACAGCTGCACTTACTGACAGAGAAGTTCAGGTTATCTTCAACAAGTCACTTCTCTGTCCCTGTCATGGGCAGAAGTGAGATTCAGATTAGTGTTGTTCTTTGTTCAGATTATCTAAAATGAACATGGGCAAGAATTTCCATAAAGCTGCTCAATGCACAAAAAGTCTTTTCAAAAGACAACAAAAGCGGATAAAAATCCTAGAAAAAATTAATGTGATCGTCCTTTAAATTGGAAATATAACACGGTATATGTCTGTGAAGGTTCTCAGTCATCCAGGTCATGGTAGTCAAAGGAGCTTGCAAAGAAAAATGTCTGGACTTCTTTAGGTTTAAATCTGGGACTCTCCACCAGTTGACTTTAGAACTGAAGAAGCTTCTCGGATGAGAGGTGAAACGTCTTCAAGCAACTTAAAGAAGTCAAGATGCTTTTCTTTGCAAGCTCCTTTGATAACACGGTATAACAGGAAATGTGAGTATGCTCACATACAGTAACCAAGGCATGCTGGCTTTGTTCTTTTAGGGTCTCCAAGAAAGACTGATGGTTCTCTTCCCTCAAGACATCGTGCTTCTATCTGTTGACAACAAGCGCCTGACTATAAGATATGAGGTACTGCAAAATTACTCTGTGGGAAAAATCCATAATAACACCTTTTCTGCTGCTGTGACAGCAAAACTTCCCAGTGTCCCAGTAATTATGACATGTTCCTTGTTATTTTGGTAGGTAACATGGTAGTTCAAACTTTCTGCCTTCATCATTCAGTATCTTTGTAGTAGAAAATTATTTCCAAAATGATGAACTAACTATTCTTTTTTCATTTTCGCTCGTATTTATATATACACTGTTAGAGAAGTGGATGCTCAGGCTTCAGACTGCTCTACATGTTTAGTTTCTGGCTGAGCTTTTAGACTTTCGACTGCGTATGATGTGAGAGGAGATGTTGTTTATATGGTTATCTGTCTTTAAGGACAGAAGCCCAGCTCACCTGTTGTTAAAACCTTTAAAGCAGCATCTAGAAAACAACTTGTCTTTTCTGTCATTCTAACAGGGAAGGTTGCCCCGACAAAGTGTCAAAGCAGTTGAGAGGTCAGCCTTGCCTGGACGGCTGGAGTTTGAACTGATAGGTACACTCTACACACGTGGTATCTTTGTATTTTTAGTTAAATGCAGCGTTGGAAGGGCAAAAATAAATATGTGATTCATTTCATATAATCACTGTTTTTGTTTGGATTTAGGTGAACTGGTGGAGCCGCTGCAGGTCTCTTGTACCTGCATGGAGGATTATCAGAACTGGATTTTTCAGTTACAACAGGTTAGACATGATTGTATGATTATACATGTTTAATGAACCATTAAAGAATAATGTATGGGCTGTAACAGTGAAAGAGGCTAAACAGGTCAGGAGAGATGAGGGAGTCACAGGGAAGGTGATCGTTTGCAGCCAGTTTGTGTAGGTTTAATTTTAAACATTATTATGTGCTTTTTATTTAAATGAGTGAAAAATAAAGAAATTTTAAAAATACTTTTCTGCAAATTAATTTAAAAAACTGCCATGTAACACTTTATCAGCCAGCAATACTCATTCACCGGACACTTCATTGGGTACACCTTGCTAGTTCTTCATGGCATAAATTCAACAGAGTGATGGAAACATTCGTCGGAGATTTTGTTCCATGTTAACATTATAGCATCACACATTTGCACAACTGTGGACAATAGAAGGCACAACTTGTGAAATGTAGCCTCGTTTTTCTTTTCTTAGTCGACACGAGTGGCACCTGTTGCGGTCTTCTGCTGCTGCTTTCAGAGATGGTCTTCTGCATACATCGGTTGTAACTAGTGGTTATTTCCATGCTTGAAGCAGTCTGGCCGGTCTGCGCTGGCCTTTGGCATCAAAGACATTTTCTCCTTCTAGGATCATTCTCTATAATCCCTCGAGATGGTTATAATGGAAAATCCAGTTTAAATCACCTTTATTCCCCATTCTGATGTTTAGTTTGCAAGTCATCTTGAACATGTCCACATGCCTAAAGGTGATTTGCTGATTAGATATGTGTGTTAACAAGCAGTTGAACATGTATATCTAATGAAGTGACCAACAAAGAGTTTTTTTGGCCTAAATGGTTTGCCAAGAGCAGGAGGACATAAACATTCAAGAAAATTGTGGCATTAAACGGTACGTTTCCTTAGCAGTTGTAAAGTAGCTGCATAATAAAATACTTTCTAGAAGAAAACTTTCTATGAACTGACCGATCACATTTCTGCATAGTTTAGGCTTATGTGTGGTAGTCACTTGTTTTAGTTTGGTATGAAAATCAACTTGTATGAACTTGTTCAGCAACTCTGAAAGCAGAAGATATAAAAAATGTTTATTTGGACACTCCTTAAGCACAGGCTTTTTAAAGTCCGTTGTTTTTCTAGATGCAAGAAAAACTGCTTGTCATGCAGAACATGACGTGTGGTGCTTTAACCGTGCGGCATATTTGCATAAATAAGATTTTCTTTTTAATTTGCAGCCAGACAGAAGCAACCATGTTACTGTGAGTCAACCGCCACCTCCGATAATGCCAAAGCTGCAGAGGAACAGGAAGGAGTCCCAGGAACCAATGCTAGCAGCCGACCCATATCACATCAATGGACGCGGCTGATTCCTCAGACGGGAGGAAGAGCCTCAAACGTCACTGTAATCATAAATTTGAAACATGTAGATAATTTGTACATATGTCTCGTATGTGCCACAACATGGAGGCAGAGCAGTGAAGACTTCTCGTTCTAATCTTTGATATATTTGGTTGATTTTGTCACTGTGAACAGACAGAACACAGCACTTAAAGCCAGTATTCATGTTCGAGCGTAAACTAGTCCTTGACCCAGTTTCAGAGCAGATCAGACCTGAAGAAATGTTAGATGTAGAAACTGTAGAGTCTCAAAAATAGCTTAAACTTAGGGGTGAATAAACTGTAAATACCTGTATGTAGCTTTGTTTTACCTTTTCAAAATAAACTATTTAAAAAAGTTTAATTCCAAACAACATATTGTAAGGATCTGTTTATTTCAGAGGCAAAACATTTACAGTAATGTGCAGAAATCCAGAAAACATCCAGTGTCTGACAGCGCTTGTAATTACTGTGGCGTTGGGAATTAAACTGACTCCAAATGTCATATTTATACAATAGTATTTGTCAAATCTTAGTTCATATAAATTACAGTCATAACGTTTTGCTCTTTATACACAAACCCATTTTATCGGAAAACACATTTACATCAGAATCTCCTTAGAGAGGAACCAGCTAGAGGAGTAACTATAAATACACATACTGCAACTGCAACAGTTTAAATTAAAACTAAGAAGTGAGATACAGAAATAAGCTGTGTTACAAACATTTCATGTGCCGCTGGATGAATTTACACTGGAATCTTAATTAAAGTGGTTCATTAACAACAGCTTTCAGCTCAGTCACACTGTGCTATTGGTCACTTGTGAATTTTTACACAAAATAATTTGAAGGATGGAGACCTATACGCAAGTTAGTGCTTAGTGTATGCAAGCAGTTTTTTTTTCAGTATTTCTAGTATAACGGTATAATCAATTATATTGCTAATTTGGGTCAAAAAAGTTTTTAAAATGATTACATGTAACGCTAAACGTCCACATTTACCACATGGATGGTTAATGTAAATGCCCGACAAGGTGAAACTGGTAGGTTTTTCAGTTCCTGGTTTTATAGGTCAACAGCTGCTCGCTGCGGCTTTGACTTCATGCAGATGTTACTAAAACAGGAGTAGATGTTTCAATGTTATGTTGTTGTGCACCAGTCATGGTGCGACTGACAAATTAGAGATGTCACCAGTGGATTCTGAACAAAAGTGGAAGTCTATGGCACAGAGGAATACACACAATATATCAGGGTTTGGCTACATATGTGGATACAGTGTAACCGGTATTAAACCCTACGACTTGTTTCATTTCTAAAATACCGTCCTGAAAGCACTTCATCACAGCATGGGTACTGCAGATCATGTCCAGATAAAAAGGTATCATCCTCTAGTAAAGAGGTAAGCATGTTTGACCAAATTCTTATCACTTTAGGGTGTAGATGGCAATAATGCGCTGTTGCACTGGTAAAAAAATCGTATATCACGTGAAGATATGAATGTGAAAAAACTGCCTGTGGTGTGTCCTGAGGCATCTCAGAAGCAGCACCCGCATCAAGCACATTTCTGATTATTAGAAGAGTGAACCTGCAGCACCCCACAGAGGCCAGGAGACAGCCCAAAGTAAGATTGTGCCCCACATGAGCCATGATAGAAAAACAGTGACAGACTTGCTTAGTGATGCTTACATTTACTACCTCTGGTGATGAACGTGCACATATTTAAACCACATTCTTGGTAAATGGCCTGTATTTGTATAGCGCTTTTCTAGTCCCTAAGGACCCCAAAGCGCTTTACACAACCTGTCATCCACCCATTCACACACACATTCACACACTGGTGATGGCAAGCTACAATGTAGCCACAGCCACCCTGGGGCGCACTGACAGAGGCGAGGCTGCCGGACACTGGCGCCACTGGGCCCTCTGACCTCCACCAGTAGGCAACGGGTGAAGTGTCTTGCCCAAGGACACAACGACCGAGACTGTCCAAGCCGGGGCTCGAACCGGCAACCTTCCGATTACAAGGCAAACTCCCAACTCTTGAGCCACGATCGCCCCAGACATTCTTCATTCTTTCCAGCCTGTAAAAATGGTACCGAATCATGCATAAAGTAATCCCCCTGTGTAGTTTACAGTCTTACGTGTGGAAAGTCTAAACTACAAATGGAAAATGAGCATTAGAAGCTTTGCACTCTCTTTCTGGAGCTAGTGTGCCAAAGGAAACTGCTAATGTCAACCACGGGGATAACAATCAAAACACGTTGGCTTGTTTTAGCACCTGCATACTTTACGGAGGTCCCACGTCCATCTAAAAAAGAAAACAATCATCCACAAGCTTCAAAATGCAACTTTAACACATGACAAGTTGCAAGTTAAAAAGAGTTAGTGCTCTCCCTTCAGTTTCTGTGTGACACATTTGATGCGGATATTTTCTCTGAGGTTGCGGAGGCGCGCGCTGCGACTTGTGATTTCCTCCACGTAGCATTTGGGGAACCAGCCCCGCTCCCCGTCTGACAGCCTGATGCCTTCCACCCAGCCTGTTGAAACACAGCAGCCCTTAGACATCAAATAAACAGCTGCGTGTTTAATGCATCCATGTTCTGTTCATTTAGGTTCAGGCTGGAGTGGTAAAAAAAAAAAACAGACTGCCCGATTCTTACCATCACTTGTAATTGTCTTGGCGTGAAGAATGTCAGCTTTTTCCAGTGTTAACTCATCGTGCTCTTGAGCCTGGTAGCTTTTGATGCACTGAACTTGCGATATATCTAATAGGAAAAGGCACGAAGCGAGAACATGAATGAGGAGGTGAATAGTGTTGCCTTAAATCTTTCTGCACTGATAGATCTCCACTGACCATCATTTTCATTGGCTTGCTCGATGTCTACGAGCGGGTCAGACGGAAACATGGCGGTGATCCATCTCTGCTTCCCGCTCCTTGGCAAACACAAAGCCGACAGGAGCGGTTAAACAACTTAACTTGTCCAGCTGTGACTGAAGCTTTTGACAAAGACATGACACTCACTCGGTGTGTGATTTGAGCAGAATCTGATGTTTGAGCTGCTGGCCTTCACACAGCTGTAGGTGGAAGATGAAGCCTGAGATCCCCTGCAGCTTCTGACTGAGATCCTTCACTTTCAACTCTCCGATTTTAGCGTGTACAAACACCATAAACTTCCATGTACTGCAAAGGACAATGGGTAATTTTAGTATAATGATCAATAGCAAGCAGTATATACAAATTCATAGATAAAACTACATCTCAGTAAGTTGTTGAACCACTAGCACCACCTACCCATTCTACTTGGTTTTGGTACTCTACAGAAGGAATGAAGCAGCAATCTTTTCCTATTTGGTGCAGGTGTAGCCTGTAATATTGGAAAAACTCCACCACTCCTCAATAAAGAGCGTTCACTACAACTTTGAAATGATTTGCAGGGATTCTTCCTTGTAAAGGGACAATCGAACCAATATTATGGCAGCAAAATGCTGCCTACAGCATAATAGAGTCACCTGATCACCTCACTGTGGGGTTAAAGGTCTGGGAAAAACACCAAATTGTCAAACTGAAACAACACCTTTAAACTAGGTAGATACCACCTTTAAGATCATCTTCTCATGCATATCTGAGCCGCTTCTGGCACTTTTACCACTTTTTAATGCTCTGCGGAAGTCCTATTATGACCCTCTGCATTTGTTCCATTTTGACACGGGATATTAAACTTCGATGTGAAAGTGGGACGACTTTCATGCTGAGGGTGATCAGTCTTGATGAGATCAAGAGACCAAACAGCAGCTTTTGGTCAAAGAGTCCCCAGATCTCAATAATCAAAGCGGCGGGAGCACATCCTGGACTCCCCCCACCCCGACATTTATGGGGCTCTGCAACGTGAATTCATGGCCCGGGGTTAGACTGTCAACACAGACTTCTACTGCCTGAGACAGACCGGTGGAAATGACCCAAACTGGGGTCCTCGCCAGTGTGCCGCTTGCAGTTTACTGAAAATGGATGAATTTTTCTGGCCACACCTTTGGCACTTTTCATGTTATGCATCATTAGAGTAATATTTCAGCTTTTCTTTGTGTGCACACTGAATGTAACTCACTCCTTCCTCCTGGACAGCAGCAGGCAGTCATTGAACAGGTGGAGGTACACTGGCTTGGTGGGTAACTTGAGCTTTGATCCAGAGATGCTCATTGTCTGAGTGTCTACTTCCAGGAGTTCTCCGTGCTTTACCAGCCAACGTGACTGGGAAATAAGAGGAAAGATCTACAAAGAAAGGAAGCAGGCTCCGCTTTAATGAACAAAAAAAAATACAAAAATGTGATAATAAGAGGAACCTTCAAACGCTTCCCTCACCTTGCCCTCAAAGTGGATTTTCTTGTTGAGATGGATGAGTTCCTCCATCCTTTTCATCGACTGCACACTGGAGTTACATTCTTTGATGATCTAAGAAGACAAATACCAACATGGTGATTACTGTCATGTCTCACTACTGGTACTCGTCCAACTGGCTATTACAGATGATAATCACCACCTTTTTTAGCTCATTGAAAGCTTTGGTGGCGGTGTCCTCATCTCGGGAACCCGGTGTTGTCCTCTTTAAGATATTCTGAAAAGTAAAGATGGTTTTGAAGATGTTCCAAGGAGTAAACAATACTTTTGTGTGGTGATGTCGCAGGGGAAAACGAAGAGTTATCCTGTATGCAGTTCCGTATGATTGGGTTTCAACTGGAATTCTGCAGTGAATGTTTAAGCGTGTACCTCCACTAGCATTTTAAGCCGCGTGATCCTCTGAAACGGGAGGATTAGGAAAGAGGTCAGAGGAAGTCTTTGGCAGATGGGGTCCTCCTCCAAGCGAGCCAGGATGCCGGGGAAACGAGGGTTTTCGTGCCTGAGAGGACAGGGCGAGAAATGTTTTATTGACTTTCAGAGAAAGTGAATCAAAATTCCAGCATCCAATTCAGCTTGAGAAAACATGCTCTTAGTCGAGATGAATCATCTGCAAGTTGAGTCATGCAGGCGTGAAAATACACCAGAGCACTCTCAGACAGCCACACAACAATCAGACTTTATGCACTGCGGTCAAGCACATGTGCAGATGTGTGCTCACGTCTCCCGGGGCTGATGTGTTTCTACACTCACAGCAAACGCTGGTATGTCTGCTCCTGGTAAGCCTGGTTGGTGACATAGGGTAAATAAACCCTTCGCAGAGACGGGCAGTGGTCCAGGACGATGTCGCACACATCGAAACGGAGAATGTCTTCTTCCAGCCTGTGCTCCAGATCCTGAAGAAATCTACAGGCAACAAGCGAGGAGAGACTCAGAGAAGGAGATGTGACACTGGAGATGTTAGCACACGCCGACCTCAGGGTAACAGAAGGACGTCAGCTGCGTGTTACTTCACCTCTCACTGACATCTTTGACTTCGGGCAGCTTGGAGAAGAGCCACTGCTTTTCCTGAGCCCCGAGGCAGTCTGCGAGCTCCGGTGATAGCATGAAGTGGTCCACTGCGATTGTCAGGCTGCGAATGTACGACGCCTCGGACGTCACCAGCTCAAACTTTGCCTGAGTTTAGATAAAAGCAGCAATTCAGCTTTATAAAGAGCAGTAAGAGTGAAATAGAGATGAAATGAGACGGAAACGTAATATTTTACTCACCTCCTGTAATTTCCTTTCTTCGTTGCTGAAGTTGTCGAGCTGCCCGCTGCTTCGAACATCAGGTATATCCTGCCACAGTGCAAAAGCAGAGCCTCGCGATGAGCGAAAGGAGCTGGATGGGGACAGATTTGATGGAGACGGGATCCCATCAGAGCCCTCCTCCCTGAGCCCCTCCTCCTCTGTGCCCGGCTCCTTCCCTTGCTGCCTCTGGATCTCTCTATTGATGGCGACGTCGCTGTATTCCTGGTACAGAATCGCTGCAAAAAGAGCAAGTTTGTTCCAGGAAAGAACAGGTAAGATTTTGTAAAGATTGGAATATCTTACAGTTTTGGAAAAAACAAACAGTAAGTGAAGCGAACTTACAGCTGGGTAAAAACCGTGACAGTCGATTTGAACTAGGAACAGATGGATGTGTGTTCAGGTCCTCCTCTATGGATTTCTTACGCATTCTGCGAAACGATGGGAAATGAAACTCTATGTTTGATTTATTCTTTACAGATTTTAAGTAGCACTATTTTTGCTACTATTTACCCGAGCTTGGCGCTCCAGCGTTGCAAAGGCATCCCATTGTCACTGCTGGGAAAGGAAGGTGCTGGTCCCACGGGACTCTGGGGAGCGCTGTCACTGGAGCCTCCTGAGCTCCGCTGCTTTGAGTTTGACTTACCTTAGGAGAATGAAATGCAGATAGTGGATGTGAGATTTATGGCATTTATGACATGACCTTCTGAGACCTACTCTGATAGACCGCATGCAATAAAGGAGACAAAGAACTGTTGTACTTTCTTTTTCATGACTTTTTACACTAAGGATTAACCTGAGGCTTTTTTTCTGAGAACATAGGAAAAGCTATTTATCACTGTCAGTTTGTACACTCTACAGTCAGCCTGTGCTTGGTGCTTGGCAGCAATAGCAAAGTTATTAGAGATGATGATTTCATGATTGTTGCCTGAGTGGTTAGGCTTTGTTCCACTAACATTCACCCCTCGAGTTTAAAGCACAGCAGAACTTTTAATGTGGCTGAATCCTGCAGTCATTGCAGCTTGTGGTCACTCTTGCCTCTGCTCAGTAAATGCTAAATTTCTAATAGGCATTTAAGATTGAAACTTTTGGAAGAAGTAAATGAATAAACTGCCCCAAGCAGCATGCTGTGGTAGTCATCTTATTAAGTCATCTTTAATTTGTCTCACTGATCTGTTATAATCCGTTGGGCTGCTTTGGAAAACTCTTGATTGATCCATCACTGTTGTCTACTCACAGTCGGTGTTGGGGTTGAGGTTGCTGGAGCTCTGTCTGTCCCTGGAGGCTACCCGAGCAGAGAGCGACTTCCCCAGCTTCAAGGTGAAGGAGTTCTTCCTTTGCGATAGCTGAAGCCTCGATATTATCTCTGAAGCTGAGAAGCGCCGCCGTTCCTGGTCGCCTTGGCGGGTGCGTGACAAAGAGCTCCCTCCACCCGCGGCGATCGATGTGTCCATGCTGCCACTCACCTCTCCTACACATGGCATCGAGTCCTCTATTATCTGCAACGGTTCTTCGGGTAGATTAAAAATATCATCGTGACTGGTGTTTGAGAGATCCGTAGCACCGTCTGTGGATGAGGGACTTGAAATGGTCTCTAGTGAAGATATTCCGCTGAGGTCTTCCTCTAAGAAAGATGCAAAAGGTCCAGGAAAGATGTAGTCTGCTTCCAGGACTGGGCTGCTGAGCGATTCATCACTCGGACTGTCTGGGGAATAAACCTGCATCTTTCTCCCTGCGCATGAGAAAATTACTTTATTAGATGAGAAGAAAGAATGTTAAGGCGCTTTAGAGCCTAATTTGCCAAATCAAACAAAAGGTTTACACTCACGGATGGATTTCTCTTTCAGGGAAGCCTGTGATGTTCTCCTCTGAGGCTGGCAGGAGTCTGGGCCCTGAATGCCAGGACATTCTGGTGACGACGGTAGCTGAGATTCCAAGGAGTCTCTGTTTGTGTACAGAGAGGACAGAGGGAACGATAGAGGGAGGCTAAGAGCAGCGTGGAGAGGACGACATACTGTCGTGACCGTTTGTGGCTTTTCAGTTTCCTCCTGCGAACGAGTCCTGCTGCCATTTTGGCATTCAAGCTCGCCGTCACCTGCGGCGAGTGTGGGAGAGTTCGAATTCAGATTTGTTCCACGCTCGCTGTCTGTCCTGCGGCCTCTGCTGCATGTGTCATTCTGTTCGTTTAGCGTCTGTCTGCAACCATTCAGATGCTGCGAGTGTGTTGTGCACTGTGCGTGTGGTATAATGGCCGGCCTCGAGGAGCCAAAACCATTTAATTTGTGAGTCGCTGTTGGCTGTAGCTCAAAAAAGGCCAGCGTTTCCTGCTGGCACACAGCAACGTGCTTGTGGTGACACATGTGGATGAGACGTCTGTCCTCGGTGGATTCACTCAGACTCTGGGACTCTGCCGAGCCGCCCGGGATCCACATGCTGGGGGCTTCTCCTGGGCAGCGAATGGCATGAAGGTGAGGCTGGAAGTCAGGCAAAGGTGAGAACCCATACCCGGGGAGCATCGCTGAACGGGCACATGAGAGCTAAAAAAGAAGAGAGGGAAGATCACAAATTCTTATTTTCTAATTCAAATGCAAATGAGCTGCAGACTGGAACTTTGTTAATAGCTTTGGTAAACAGTGGCTCATAAGGGACTGGATAAAAAAAGGATTTAGAAAATCTACATTCAGGATTTAGAACTGCCTAAAAAATAGCATTTAATTCTGCAGTAACATCTGAAAAACATGGAGCAAACATAATTCCTCCAACCACCTTGCTGGACAGAATGACTACAGCAGCATACCACTTATCTTGCAATCGAACATGGTCGGACGCGGCTCAGTGTTTGCAGCCTGGCTTAGTGTCGCCAGAGGATTCCTAACAATCGATCGAGTGTTTCGGTGTTTTCAGTTCTAATAAGCAGCAGTCCAAATTCTGGAAGTTTGTGAAACCATTTAGATCATTTATGGATGCCGACTGTGTGGACGTGGCACAAGAACGACCTTCTAAAACCCTTTCTTCACATTTTACAACTCGTGCAGCAGGATAAAGGCACATATACAGCTCCATGAAAAAGGACCCTGAAACTGACATGTGCAGACATGCGCGCACACGCACGCACGCACGCACATTTAAGTCTGATGCAGTGTCTTCCTGCTCTAATTAAAGGACTTTTCTCCACACAGCATTCACCCCCTGTACTTAACATCTCCACACACACGTGCACACACTGCAGCTCCAGACAGAATACCACAACAGAAGAACAGACGGAGGAAGAGATCGTCAGCACTCTCACCTTTCACCTGAGCTCTACACTCATCTGTCAGTCTGGTTGTTGTTCTGACTTCCTGTCAGCTGCTGTCTTCAGCAGGCACCTTTAGTGATTGACTATTTACAGTGAGTGTCTGCTGAAACACAGCAGCGGGTCATAAAGTTAGCTCTCCTGACAGGCTCTTTATACACACACACACCAGTGGAGCTCTGTCTCTGCTTACACTGCTTCCTGGGCAAGTAATCCTCAACTTTTGGCCTAAACACCTAGGGAAAAGAATAAGGCAGACACGAACGTACAGCGCACACACACACACACACACACACACACACACACACACACACACACACACACACACACACACACACACACACACACACACACACACAGAGGGATATAGAGGTAGGGATTATTAAAAAATAGTTTTTATATTCAAGTCACATCCTCGCAGGAACCTAGGCATGTGGTTCTGGCATAATCACACTGCTGTCGATGGCAGCACACCAGATTCTTCTGTTTTCTTGGCAATAATAACAAAAAGTTAATTTCTTTGTCAGGTCAAGTTTTTTTTTTTAAATATATGTTCTTGTGGCTGAAGCACTTGGTTAAACTGTACGTAGCAAACAAATTTGCAAGCACTAATACCGTTTTCCACACATGCACGCTCACATTTGTGCCACATTTGTTTTCAGTCACTTCTTTTTTTTGTTCATTTTTAATAAAGATAACTACTGAATGCTCATGAAAAATATATATCTTGCAGCATAACTTGTTAGCACTGGAGGATAAAATATGTTAGCCTGCATGTTTAATTTTAAATCTATCCAGCTTCACTTGATTATTTTAAACTCCTGTAAACTCACAGAGTGCAAAAATAGTGTACTGTATGACAATACAGGGCTGTATGTTAATTTTTAACTATTCTATCGGTATTTTTCCACAACAGCCCACACACACACACACACACACACACACACACACACACACACACACACACACACACACACACACACACACACACACACACACACACACAGTGCAGGCTCTCTGTAGCCAGAAATTATACCCTTTAATTTGGGGATGTTTTTTTTGTAATTTAGAGTTTAATCATCATTCTCACACTGCAAATGTTTACGAGAAGCTTACATTTTACATTAATGTATCCCATTAACCTGAGTACCTGTAATTGGCATGCGCCTAGTGTCCCTTAAGTGGATAAAAGCATACACTCGTGCTTTCACTGAGAGTATGTTTGTAATGTTGCCTGTTTGCCTGGAGAATCACGGACTGGAAATCACAGTTTACCTTCCTTTTTGTTGAGCGCAGATGTGTATGCTGTGAATATGAGGCCGTTGAAAAGCCACACCTGTTCTTGTGGCAAAGGTAGGCAGACCAGTCAATCCTATCTCTCTGTTTCTTTCTTACACACACACACACACACACACACACACACACACACACACACACACTCACACTCACACACACTCACACACACACACACACACACACACACACACACACACACACACAGTAGGCAGGCTCAAATGGTTACCTGTTCCCCGCTGCAGACAAAGGCAGCCTTTATCTGTGTACCTGGGCCAGGCCGCCCTGAGCACAGGACACCTGAGAGGGTGTGGGAACTGCTTATACTGATCCACTCATATAGTGCAGCCACTGAGCCATATAAACACATCTCGACCACTGCTGCATAATGACACCAGCTTACTGGTATCTGCATGTGATTACTGGCTGGTTATACTCTAATCCTGCTGTAGTGTATGTCAAGTATTAGCTAAACCCTCTCTACCGCTGTCGTTTATAGTGCATTGTCTAGCAAATAAGGGAAATAATCTATCCTAATGAATGAATGTTCACATAAGCCTTTAACAGCACGTTAAATGTAACATAAATCTGCGCAGCGCATTAGTTTCATCTTTTCATTTGACCAAGAGAAAGATTTAAAGAGCTGAGAATAAATCCCACTGCTGTGTTTTATCAAAACATGAAAGCATCCGATTACATGTGCTGCGCATTCCTCTCCCTGATACAATTATATCTATGCACTATTAAATTTTCAATTCCAAAGACGTGTAATTTCCCTTGTCACAGCAGGGTGTTATTTTGTGACTGTTGTGGACTTTGCTGCCAGTGTTTCCCCACCTGTAATTTCACTAGGCTGCTCTAAGACAGCGTGTCTGCATACAGAAGTTAATGAGTGGCGCTGTGGCGTGCATTTAATGCCAGCAGCCAAACGAGGAGCACTTTTAATTGTGATACGTCTCAAAATAATCCTTTAATGGGGATAAGCGCAGGAATATGAGCATAAATCTATTGCTGATTCAGCACGTCAACAGAGCCAAAACGCTGTGTAATCGCATAATTAAAGTTTGTCTGATGTTTGCTGCTGGGAGTTTAAAACAAATGGATTCATTGCTGGAGCTGTTTGTGGTTTTTGACAGTGAAGATGTACATGTCTACACTGTTTATTTTACTAATGCTAGGGTGTATAAAGGTAGCACTGCTTTAAATGGGCACGTAAGCAAATCTATCACAAACTTGTTGGTGATCAAGATATTATTCAAACATCAACATGAACCCGTCCCACGCAGCACTTACTACTGCTGTTATCTCGCTGTGTTTGACCTTTGATCTACTAAAACACGGCAACCACTGTACATTCCCAGTTCCCACTTGGATTCAAAAGTTACCTTCTGCCATGGTGCAGCTCCACGGGATTTTTCTAACTGGCTAGCTGACAACAATAAACAGCCAAAGTAATCCAGCTATCAACACAGGCACTGTAATTTATTTTAAGTCTTTTCCACATTTGCGTCTGTAAATACTCACTAGAGAGCTGAACGCACATTAATCGCAGCCTGAAAGAAGTAACGCTGATCTGAGCCCACGAAGACTGAGCTTGTGGTCTCCAAAAGTACAAAAACTAAAGGATTTTTATTTTCAGGGATCATAAAACTAAGAAACGGTATAAGAGTAGATCTAGCCTCTTCAAAAAAAAAAAGTTTTCACTGATGCCATTTCCCTGGCCGGAAACAGACAATGTCGTCTAACATCACAAACTAGGAAAAATAAAGCGTGTTGATGATTAGTCAAGATAAAATAGATAACACTTAAAAATGTACATTATTTTAGTTCTTTGGAAATGTGTTATCTCAATATGTCAGATAAAGGCGCACCCCCCACCCCCCAACAAAAATCTCTACGTTGAGTAAGACTAAAACTAGGTTTAGTAAAAAACTTTCAGTTGCTGAAATAAAAAAAAATCTAGTCATTTTAAAAATAACAAAAAATAGAAACTAGCTGAAATGATGATCTGCACTCACCAAACAAACTGAAAGAAAGTAAAAATACCGAGCGTTTCATCACCAGCGCGGTGAGGATCTGGTGCATTTGTGTTTGTGGGACTGGTGTCTACACGACTTTGGGTCTGCTGCTTTCACAGACTCTCATGTTTCTATCAAATGTTCTGAACAGCTTTGAATCTTCCCCCCATAAATGCGCCCCATTTTATAATAACTAAAAAAGACCAAAACTAACCCTAAAAACAATAAATAGAGATAAAGATACTTTGTCATTTAGTGACTCTCCGTCAACCAACGTCAAGGGATAAAAACGGCTTTTTAAAAAAAACGACACAGACATAGTAGCAATAAAAAAAACATGTTTATATGGTTTTTTACAAGAATGCAAAGATTACAATAGTGTGCATTTGCTTATATAGTAAATGTTAAACAATAAATGATTAAAGCCACTGTGGAATCCAGCTTAAACTAAACTGAGCTTAAAACAAAAACACTGCCAGGCTGAATGGATAAACTAAGATAAACTAATCCTGATCATCAGGATCCAGTATAAACACTTTACTTTCCTAACCTTCAGGCCAATGCACACTTTGCTTTGCTATGATGCTGCAACCCACACAACGCTCCATAAGAGGCGCCAGTGATAAAATACAATAATTTAAGGTTTTAAGGTTGCAGCGTTACGATGCCTTATGACAGAAATATGAATAACCAGGCACAATGAAAAGATAACACACACACAGTCACACTTTTTTCCATGACTGCCCGTCCTCAGTGTGTTTGGTCAGACAGACGTGGAGTGTCCTGGCAGTGTGGTGCGACCATCTCACGTGTATGTGTGAGATCGCAGTTCAGCTCGGTCACATCGGACCACTAATTGCCAAGCAGCAGGCTAAAGAGCACAGCACTGTCTGCCGAGACAAGACGTGACATCATTCAGCGTCAGGGAAAA